GCACTTTGGGAGGCAAGGGGCAGTGGAATCACCTGAAGTCAGGAGTTCGAGGACCACCTGGCCAAGCATGGTTGAAACCTGTCTATACTAAAAATATAAAAAAATTAGCTGTGGGCTAGTTGGTGCGCGCCTGTAGACTCGGAAGATGCAGCAGGAGAATCACTTGATCTGGGGTTTGTATTTTTAGTAGAGACAGGGTTTCTCCATGTTGATCAGGCTGGTCTCGAACTCCCGACCTCAGGTGATCCACCACCCACCTCAGCCTCCCAAAGTGCTGGGATTACAGGTGTGAGCCACTGGGCCCAGCAACAAGCCTCTAAATCCGACTATCAGTTTGTAAGAAATACTATGCTGTATTCATTAAAATGAGAAAACTTAGTGAGTCTGACCTTAGTAAGCTTAGTGACAAGGTAGAACACTGTAAACTCTGCCAGGCACGGTCGCTCACACCTATAATCTCGCTCACACCTATAATCCCAGCACTCTGGGAGGCTGAGGTGGGAGGATCACCTGAGGTCAGGAGTTTGAAACCAGCCTGGCCAACATGGTGAAACCCCGTCTCTACTAAAAATGTAAAAATTAGTCAGGTGTGATGGCAGGTGCCTGTAATCCCAGCTACTCGGGAGGCTGAGGCAGGAGAATTGCTTGAACCTGGGAGGCGGAGGTTGCAGTGAGCCGAGATTACTCCAGCGCACTCCAGCCTGGGCAACAGAGTGAAACTGCATCTCAAAAATCAAAACAAAACAAAAGAAAAAAACACAAAAACCAAAAACATTGGCAACTCTCACACCCTGCTGATAGCAATGCAAATTGTCCTACACAGTTTGAATCTGAGGACACATACAAAATGGGAAAAATTATCCCCTTGCCACTAGATGGTGCTTACTGGCTTTGGAGTACTTTATCCTATATATTGTCTTCTGCTACATTGCTGCCTTCCTCTTTTCACTTCTGATGGATCACTGGAGGAAGGGGCTGGGCACTAGGGCTTAGAGCCTCCCAAAAATGCTGTAATCTGGATTCCAACAGCCATATCTGCTGTGGAACCATGTTGCCCCTGGGCACACATCTCTGAGAGTTTCTGTCTCCCCTAGCCGCTTACATTATTCAGTTCCTTAGCAATATCTATCTGTGATACTGTGTTAAGGGTCTTTTTCTGAAGAATATATATTTTAATACGTCTGATTAATTATTGCACATAATATCTGTGCTATTTAACTTTTCTCTTTATTATTATATTTATTTATTTATTTATTTTGAAACAAAGTCTTGCTCTGTTGCCCAGGCTGGAGTGCAGTGGCGCAATCTTGGCTCACTGCAACCTCCGCCTTCTGGGTTCAAGTGATTCTCCTGCCTCAGCCTCCCAAGTAGCTGGGATTACAGGCATGCGCTACTAAGCCTGGTTAATTTTGTATTTTTAGTAGAGACAGGGTTTCTTCATGTTGGTCAGGCTGGTCTCGAACTCCTGACCTCAGGTGATCCGCACACCTCAGCCTCCCAAAGTGCTGGGATTATAGACATGAGCCACCACACCCCGCCTAGTGAAGCATTCTATTCAAAATATTCCTATTCTTTTTCAAAAATATTAATTACCCATCCGTGGGGTAATATCAGACTTCCCTGCCCCACAGAAATCAGGTTTGGAGATATACTTTGTTTTAGCCAATACTATATGGGCAGAAGTTATGTTTGTCACTTCTAAGCAGAAGCTTCAAGAGCCAGAATGTGACTTGCTGTGGGGTTTTTGGTTTGCTTTTCTCTTTCCCTGCTATGAGATCAGTCATGTTCTAGAGGCTGCTCCATCAGCTTGGGTCCCAACGTGAAAATATTGGCCCTCTGCAGTGGACACGAATGAGAGGTAAACCTTTATTTTTGTAAGCTGCTGAGACATTGGAGCCATTTGTTACTGCAGCATAATGTATCGTATTCTGACTGATACACTGGCCATTTCTTAAACATTCTTTCAGACTAGTCATGACCTGTATCAGGTTCTGCACATGCATGCCTGCCTAATAGTTAATGATACAAATAAACATTTTGTCTGGGTGATGTGGATTGGGTCTGTGTCCCCACCCAAGTCTCATGATCCATTGTAATCCCCAGTGTTGGAGGTCGAGGTCGGGCTCAGGGGAAGGCCATTGGACATGGGGCAGAGTTCTCATGAATGGATTAGTATCATCCCTCTTGGTACTGGATAGTGAGTTCTCACGAGATCTGGCTGTTTAAAAGTGGATAACACCTCCTCTGTCTCTCTCTCGGTCCTGGGCCTGCCATGGAAGACTCGTACTCCCACTTGCCTTCTGCCTTCTGCTTTGAAGCTCCTTGAGGCCTCCCCAGAAGCAGAGGCCACTATACTTTCTGTATAGCCTGCAGAACCATGAGCCAGTTA